CTGGTGTTTTTTGGAGGATGGGAAAAGAATAAACCAGAGAAGCAGCACCGAAGGGACTGGGCAGCTGGAGGAGATGTGCGAGCGTGGTCCTGGAGGCCTCCCCGGCGCTACCCACGAGGGATGCAGGCTGTAGGGAGCCTGCTCTAAGCAGTGCCGCTGGCCAGCCCAAACAGGGCCATGAGTATCCTTTCCTTTTAGCCTTTTTAACCCTGTAAGTAGGCGCTGTGCCCAGTAACAGTGCTCCTGTGCCCGCTTCATTGGCAAACACCTGCTTTTGTACAAGTGTCTGGCACAGCAGTTTCTGCTGCAGTTTGGTGTGGTGCAGGGGCGCTTCTGAGACCAGGGCTGGAGGGGGCTTGGCTGCCTCCTGGGACATCCCGAGGAAACACTGAGAAGATTTGATTTTTTTTTTTTCTTAAGCTCCTAATGCTCCAGAAATGAATAAATGTATCAAAGTTTTTTCCTGCCTCCACCCCCCCCGTAATGTGTTAAAAAAGCTGGATGCCATGCTGTGCCACTTCCCAGATATCTGCTCTCCATACACTAGCGTACTCCTGGCAGGCCTGGCCTGAGACTTGTAGTGAAAAGCTTTATGAAAATTTAAAATATACTGGAGTTGGAATGGTAATTTTGTGTGTGTTTATATTACTATATAAATATAAAAAATTCATATATATGTATGTGTTAGACTGTGGAACTTTTATTCATTTGAATTGAGGTAGGAGTTCATATTAGTTTTACAGTTTCCTTAAAGCTGACTTAATTGTTTGAAGAGCTTTAAGTTGCTATGTTCTTTACTTGTTTTAACAATATGTTGAACTGATATAAGAGCTGCTGAATATATAGGTTTCTGTCATCCTCCTTTTCTTTCTTCCTGTGGAGTTGGAGTTTGTGTGAGGAGGGAACCTGACAGGTAATAAAAGTGAAGACGACAGCTCCGCAAGTGAACTCTGAATTTATGGACTAAAAGTAAAGGTCTCTTGCAAGCCAATGCCTATAGGGAAGCTGGAATTGGAGTAGCTTCTGAAAGATTAAGGAATTTAAGTACATGCTGCAAGCCCTAATTTAAAGAACATAGTCTTATCTTTAACACTTTAATGGAAAAGGACAGTCTTTGTAAAATTTCAGTCCAAGCGAAGAATGTTACTTGTACTTTGCTAGTTATTGGAGCTAGTGAATACTCTTTTATCCCATCTTAAAGAAAAGATGCGGTCCTTCATTGTAATATTTTGTGGAAGTTGTCAAATATTTTAGGTTTGCTTTTCAGTTGTTTCACTAAGTACTCCATTATGTGCATTTCACATTAAGTAGAAGCATTTCAGCTGTGTTTTGTGCATTGAACATAATGTGGATAAGCTTTGACTGTTTGGAAGAGGAAAAAAAAAAGAAAAAATTAACTATGGCACATCAGGCTTACACTAACAGGCATGAAGGAACACAAAAAATGTGGATGAGACAGAAATGGCCAAATTAGTTAAAAATAAGTCTTGAGGTATGACAACTAATAACAGAAATCCAGCACCAATAAATATTTTTTTGTGTAATCATAATAATACCCACTTTGGTTCTTTTGATGCTGTGCTTGTTCCTATAACATTTGTAAATCACAGGTTTTCCCTTTAAAACTGTGAACGCAGCTCAGTGAAAACTCTGGGCAAACCATCTGTTTTCAACTATTTTATTGATATATCCGTTGGCCTCTGGGAAAACCCTGGGCTAGCACAGTGATCTTCAGACTTGGAGATCAGGAAGTTGCTATGTAAATGGGGAGTGAGAGACACAAATAATCACAGCAAGATGTCCCGTCTTTCTGCTTGACTTTGGCTTTATGATTTGGCATTGCTGATTACTTTCAGCTCTATTCAGACGTTGCGTTTGTTAAGATGATGCCAAATGTTTGCAAAAGAAGTGAGAGAGCGCTAGAAAAGCGCCCTGTTTCACCTTCCAGACTTCCCTGCTCAGTGACAACGGTGGGTGGTGGTCTTCTTTCCCCCCCTCAGTTTGACTGCTGTGGGCAGGAGAAGATGAACATGACAGACTGGATGGCTGTGGAGAGCCATCAGTTTAAGATGCAAAGCTCCTTGGGTACTCAATCCGTCTGCGCTGGGAGATGGAGGTCTTGGCAAAGCAAGCTGGGGATGAAGGGTCCATCATCTTCTCCATGACTCTCTTTGTTCTCCCTGGCTGAGAGCTCGACTCCCTCATTGCGTGTGTCCGTCCTTCCTCTGGTCATCATCTGCTTTAACTGGGGGGGAGGAGGAGCAGGGCTTGGGGTTCGGTGTGTGTTTTTGTTTTCCAAAGTCTGCTTGAGTAAATGGAATTTAGCAAGGAACACAGTGAAGTACAAACATAGGTGTAGACAAGTAGTCACAATGACTGAGGCCTGCCTCTCGGGTATGCTGCTTCGCTTCAAAAAGAAAAGGGGGGGGGGGGGGGAAGGTTAGTTGAAGAGAAGACTCGGATATGTGTTTATTCCTGGAAAATAATTCTTTTGATCTTCAGGGAGGTGTGTGAATTTAGGAGAGAGAAGAAAGACAGGTAATTTCTAGTTTTGTGTTTCTTTTTTCTTTTTTTTTTTTTTCCCCCCTGAAGCAGAGCCGCAGGCTTTTTTCCTTACCTCCCCTTATTTATTTTTTTCTTTATTATCATCAGACACTTAATTTCTCTGAAATGTTCCAGTCTCAGTGCAGCCTAAAAACATTCAAACAGAATAGCGTACACACCTGTCAGACCATGGGGCAAATGATAAGGGGATGCCAGTATATGAACCATAGGAATTGGCTCTTTGATGTACAGCTTTAGAGTTAATGGCACCTCACTCATCTTAGGAGACAGTCTTTGACTACGGGCAGTTTTATAAGTTCCCACTTATATTGGTGTATTTGTTACTTAATTGGATGCATTTCTTGACTTTTTATTACATGAAAATTCAGCTGCTGACTTTTTTCCCTAATAATTTGAAATATTTAAACCACGTACATCACAACAACAAAACTCTCTTTCACAGAAATAGATTAAGTGCATTAATTCTTGATCAAGCTTGTCTTCTCCCTTTGAATTCATCACGTCCTTTAAGTGTTGGGGTCCAGAAGCACTTCCAGTACTATTTGAGCTGTCACGACTGTGCCCGGGGACAAATGTAGCGCAGTCACTTGGTCCACTCTGCCAGCCCAGAGAGGGACGGGATGAACGGCTGGAGGCAATGACTTCTTAAACTAACCCAGCTAGACTTTCAAGAGCATGTCTGATCATGGCTTTAGAAACACAGCGAATGCTTAATATAACTCAAAACCTGTGCTGATTTGTATCATAATGAACATCGATGCTAATGGAGGAGCGTATACGTGTTTTGTCTCCCCAGACAGCAGCATACATACCACGGCTGGTACACCAGTCATTTCAAAGCAGTTATGCAAGGTGTTTTCTTCCATGTTTGCAGCGAAGTCACCACAGTTCAGCTGCGTGTTGACCTAGAGAAGACAGCCTGTAGGTCAGAGGACAGTCAAACATTGCCTATTGCTCTTAGCCCTGTGCTGGCTCGGATCTGTTACAGTCCATTTTTTTCATCTCGTGGGCTGTCACTGCTGACCTTTCCTCTCATCGCCTTATGAAGAATAGCATTTTATTAAAGTTTTGCTGCTTCCTGGGTCATCCCTTGCCGCTGTCCATTCCTGGGGCTTCTGTCTGTGTAAATCCAAGCTTAAGCTTTTAATGTGGGTGGTTTTCCACTTTTGTCCCCAATGCATCTGGTTCCATGGTATAGTGTGGATAAACTTGAACCGGTCCCCGTCTGTGCCTTTTGCCTGCCCTGGTTGCCAGTGATGCTATCCAAGTAACTACGCTGCTAGTGTAGGAAGATGGAAAAACAGATTGCTTCAGAGTGTATTGCATGAGGAAGAAGCACATGTCATTTTGCACGAGAGTTTCTGCTGTTGCTGCCAAAGCCATCAGACAAGGAGTTGCAGTTATCAGGTTTGTCAGTTGTCATGGATAAGGATTCTGAGCGAGACTCTGACAGTAACACCTGCGCCTCCCATCGTGAGGGCTTCACATCTGGAGTCGGAGCTGAGGACGTGCATTTTAGCCTCCTAGGTTTCCAGGTGTGGAGTTTGGGTTTGGGGTTTTTTTTTATGCTTTGAAACCTGAAGAAGCAGTGAAACCCCATAGCATGTGCAAGCTGGTAACTGTAGCAGAACTAATTGTCGCACGTGGTTTGCTGTTCTTTGTGAAGGATATCTAAGTCGCTTACCACATGCGTTACTACTGCTAACGTTTGCGATCAGAGTTCATTTGGGGAGAAAGTGTGATGGCAAATCCAATAATGTACAATAGTCAACAGTGCTAACGTGCTATTTTGCATTTCTTTTGTGGAGCATGTTACAAAGGATCAGGTGCAAGAGTGAAGGATGTTTCTCGGTTTTAGTTGATGACACAATGTGTTATTTGCCAGGATAATTCATAGCTCCAACTTTGTTCAAGAACTGCTTTTAGTAATCCTGTTCTCTGAAGTAGTCGCTTAAGGTGTATACCAGTACCACAAAACAAAGCGTATAACGGTATACGATGCTATTGACGACGTAGCTATAGGGATAACCAGTTCAAATAAATAAATGCCTCTGCAATCTTTGGTACAATATCAAGCTACCGTTTTAAAGACGTATTCCAGTATTAGCAGCTGTGGGGTTTGTAGGGGAGAGGTGTCTATTTAGTTACCAATTCACTTTAAGGTGATTATAAGCACATGAATTTGTTAAAATGTTTTATTAAAAATGTCTGAGAAGAAGTTTTTTTGCAGCTTTCTTTTTATGGGCTCTTCATTTGCCTTGAAAAGGTCTTCATGTGTCGTTCAGTAAACCTTCAAACTTTCCGATGTTAAATTATTTCAGTAAAGCATATTTAAGCTTAAAAAAAATACTCAGGAGTAGCAGGACTTTAATTGATATTTTTACTTATCTGTAATTTGTAAGTTTACCATGTGAATTCTTTCTGTTTTCATGTAGGCGTTTAGATGCTAACCATATAACTGCCATACCAGAAGACAGTTTTGAGGGTCTGGTGCAGTTGCGTCACCTTTGGTTGGATGACAACAGCTTGACAGAAGTTCCCATCTATCCGCTCAGCAATCTTCCCTCTCTGCAGGCGTTAACGCTGGCTCTTAACAAAATAACACATATTCCTGACTATGCATTTACAAACCTTTCAAGTCTTGTTGTTCTGTGAGTATTTGTAATTGTATTTCATAGGTCACTTTGATTCTTTCCTCAGTTACAGTTTTGATTAAGCTAAGATGGCACTGAAAATGGTATTTTGCTATGTTTTAGCTCAGTTGTCTAGTAACAGCCTATACCAACACGAGATGGTATCACGTGTACTTCGACAACCCGCTGAAGGTTTGCTAAAGATCTTCTAAACAGAAAGTCAAATGGGCTATGGATAGGGAGATTGCCGTGTATTTTCCTGATGTCTCATTTTAGCAACGAATATTTCAAACCAATGGTTGTCAGAGAAAGCTTTCAGAGATATTAAAAGAAGAAAATATCTGCCACAGACCTGTTTCTGCGTAGTCTTAAATATCTCCAAGGATTAATATGAAAAATTACTTTGATTTATATGTTTAAATCATCTTTTTATCACACTTCTGGATAGTGAGTAAGGGTTTAAAATAGGTTGTCTTGACTGTGGGTAATCTGTTCTGTTCCCATATGAGGATGAAATATTTCTGTCGAGAAGTGAAAGACATTCTTCTGTATAATCCACCCCTTGTAATGTTTTTTCTAAACCATTTAACTGTCTTGATTTCATAGAAATATCTGCTAATATGTTAACTTACATGAAATCATTCACTTATTTTCATACTTGTTTTGTTTTTGTTTTTTAGACATCTTCATAATAACAAAATAAAAACTATAGGAAAACACTGCTTTGATGGATTAGACAACCTTGAAACCTTGTAAGTATGCTTCTTAAAGTAACTAATTGTTCAGTGTTTGTCTCATTCCCAGCTTAATCAAGGTTACTTTACTGGTATGGTGAAGATTTTGCAAATAAGGCATGTGTGCACAGCACAACACATACCACTGACACAGCTCCAGCTCAGGTTTCGGAACTGAAGGCTAGTATCAGTGCAGTGCTCCACCAAAACTAATTAACTATGTTGAGAAGCAGGTAAATATTAGCCTGGGTGAAATGTCACAGTGGATGATGTGGGTCTAATGTTCCTAGCCCTGATCTAGCTGGTGTATCTTTGCATAGCACTCCACTGAGTCAGGTGGATGTATCGAAGTGTTTTGAGTGGCCCTGTGGGTGATAAGGGACAAATATTTGTTTCTCAGATTTACTGTAGGATTAAGCATATTTAAGATACACTGCCAAAACTCTTGTGTGTTGATAGGAGGTTTCTCAGAAGGCCCCAGCGGGCTGTTTCTCCACTGCTCCTGCATTACTGGTTGGGCACCACTGCCTGCCAAGGAGGCTGTCGCTCATGTGTCCCCACAGCTTCTGAACCGATCCTCTGTAGGCTGGTAGAAAACAGCCCAGCTCCTGGTTCCCAGCCTCTCATACAAGAGATTCACCTGAGTTCACTTCAAATACTGGCAAATATTCAGATGATGGACTGGTTTATCTGAAACAGTGAACCTTATGTTCCTTCGGACAGGAGCAGGGGATGGTGGCGGGAAGCATCACCTTCCCCTCACCCCTTGTCTGTTGTCCCAGCTGACAATTCATACTCCCCCCAGAACTGGGTGTCCGTAGCGGCCAGATCCTAGCTCCACAGTACTCCTCAACCTCCAGAGCACCTTCTTGGTGAGGAATGGCTTTCAGCCGCCGTTACACTCCCCATTTCCCTTCAGCTTGCTCATTGAATGTCTAATAAGTGGTATCTCCTTCAGCGGTGCATTTTGTTATGCTTAGGAGAATGCTAAATAAATAAAACAAATGAAGGAGGGCAAGGGCACGTTAAAGCCAGGGACAACCTCTGTTAACATATGAGGAGTTTGGATGAGTCCAGGAATGCTGCTTACTCCAACTATCTTGTCATTCTCTTAGGAACTGAATTAAGGAATAATTAGGCGCTATGTAAACGTGCACAGCTGATGTAAGATGTAAGACTCTCAGAATGTTTTTCCCTCTCATAAAGAATCCCTTTTGCAGAAAAAAGACTGTAGCCGGTCCTGATGTTACTGCTAGAATGGTGACAGGTTAACTGAGATTTCAACAGATCCCTGTCACTGATGTGTGATGATTCAGTGTGATGAGGTTTCCCTCTGCTTCCCTTCAGTATTTACAATTGGTTTTGCTAGAAGGTCTGCTATTACCTAATGGCTTATTTACTGTTTATTTTATAAAACCTGAAAGAAAAGTTTTCTTAGTAAGCTAATAAAGAGTAGTCATTTGTATCTACTTTATTTTTTAAACTTTGAAATCTTAGTTCATTTCCATGTAAATTCTGTTGAAGAAAAGTCTGTGAGTTGTTGAAAAATACTGAGCTTTGCTGTAAGGAAATGTCATTTGACTTAACATGAATAATCCTCTGGATAATATTAAATATCTTACCTAAGTTATTAGCTGGTTATAAAGCATGTGCAACATCAGAAGACTAAATCTAAGTTAAAAATCAAGTTATTCTATGGTCTAGTTAGAGATGTTCTGAGAACTTTTTACTTTCATTGAATTGTGTTAAATAAAAATTATTTTAACAATTCATGATAACTATTACGAATTTCATGATTTTCCTGCTTTGTTTCCTCTAGGGATTTAAATTATAACAACATGGTAGAGTTCCCCGAAGCCATAAAAGCACTCCCAAGTCTAAAGGAGTTGTAAGTATTACTTATTCTCCCTTTTTACCGGTTTTCTTTCTCCTTTCCATAAATAAAAAGAGAAAAGAAATTCCCGGATTTAAGAATGCTTGTCTCATTATGCAGCAACCTAGATCAGATTAAGTTATGCTAAGCGATGCTGTAATTAAAGGAAAATGTAATCATCGGCTAGAGAGGGAACCTATTCAAAATTATTTTGGAGTTATATAAGCAAGCAATTTATTCAGAACGATTAGCATAGATCTTAATCATGAGCTGGTTTTGGCCTCCAGTAGCAGAATTAAGTATTCACTGATCACACATGTTTTCCTTGTCCCCTCCTTAAGAGGGGAAGAAGAAGAGAGAAAGCACAGGATCGTGTTTTGGACAGAACAGTTTCTTTGTAATGAAATATTTTCAGTTTAGCTGATGTGCAGTAGACAGAAATCATACCTTCAAAGTTATTCCTACAGTTTGACTTACTCCTATTTAACTACAATCCTATTTTTGGCAGGATTGGGAATTGAGTAGGTGTGAAGAAAATGACTATTGGTTGAATCTACTGGCAGGATATTTTTAAGTGTTGGTTTTCTTCTTTGCTAATATCTTTAGGGGATTTCACAGTAACTACATTTCCATAATTCCTGATGGTGCATTTGCAGGAAACCCCCTTCTAAGAACGATGTAAGTAATTTTCATGCATCTATTTTTAGTCTGTAGCAGACAGTGACTGTAAGAACAGCAATTGAAACATGTTTTTCATTTCCCAGACATTTGTATGATAATCCTTTGTCTTTTGTGGGGAACTCAGCATTTCAGAATCTGTCAGATCTACATTCCCTGTAAGTATCATCTCAGCTATATAGTACAATATATGGACATGAAACGTTGTGGCTAAGAACTCAAAATAACTAAATTTTCTGACTGCCTCTTACCTTACAATTTTTTTGCAGTAAGCTTTTATAAACATTGTTATTGTTGGGAATATCCAGTTTCTTAAGAAGCTCTAGTAAATATGCTCTACAACTTTTTTTTTTTTAAATCTTCATTACCTTGCATAAGACACATAACCTCAGGCCAAATGCTCAGGTTCTTACTTAAACAAACTGCAATATGTCCTAGGTGGTTTTTGAACAGGGATGTACATTGTGAGAATGTTTTGCAGGTTAGTGCATGCATACTCTCAAAAGATACCAGTTCTGGGGGTGACGAGAAAGCAAAACGGAGTGAGACTTTGGACTTTGAACTACAAACTACCTACGAGTTTATGCCCTTTTCATATGTGTATTGATACGACTCTTTCCAGCTTGATGAATTCCAGTTGTTTGCTAATGGAGGAGTAATTGATTAAGCAAATTACTAGTATAAGAAGCAGTGAAAAGACTATATTCATGTGTAAAATTTAAACAAAAGCAATGAGGATCTTAGACTGTCTCCTTAGTGAAAATACCTACCTGATAGCAGGATTGAACGTCACAATTCTTTGCATAATACAGCTAATTTTCATGGGGATTTTTTTAGGGTCATCCGGGGTGCCAGCATGGTGCAGTGGTTTCCTAATTTGACAGGAACCATTAATCTGGAGAGCTTGTAAGTATCTTCTACAGAAATAACTTCCAATAATTTCTTGGTTTTGCCTCTTGTGAAGTGATTGAAATATGATTAGTGGGTCTGGAGAGCAACTGGATGTTATGTTCTCTTCCTGTCAATAAATGTTAAGTAATTATATAGCTTTCCTTACTGTGATACCTGGGTGCCTCTTAATTTTTTTTTTTTTTAATAGTGTAAGCTGGCAACAGCCCATGAAAAGGCCATTGATACTAACCCCCCTCTCACAGAACTGAAAAACAGAAAAGTTAGCCTCTTCCAAACAACCAAACCAAAAAAAATTTGCACCCCGATAGCTGAGACACCATCCTTCTTCTGCTCTTACGTATGCTTGTTATGCCATCTACCATCAACAATGCAAACATTTATATACGGGGTTTTTTTCACAGAACTCTAACAGGGACCAAGATAAACAGTATTCCTGTTAATTTATGTCAAGAGCAAAAGGTGCTGCGAACTTTGTAAGTATACACATTGTGCTCCTATTTTCATCTGCATCAAAATGTTTTAAAAGAAATTTAAAGCTAATTCAAAGCAAAAGTATTGCTTAGAATTGCTCATCCTAGTAGTTCTATCAACGTTAGAAATCTGATTCTGGTTTCTTGATTCTTCAAATCAAGACTCGTGGCACAGTTGATGTAATGCCTTGTATTCTTGAAACAGGGTCCCCTTTATAGGGATGCACTATTTCTTTCCTGTGTTACAGAAGATATGTAAGGTGGTGCTGCAGAACAGTCTTTGCATCTTCAAATTCACTCCGCCGCCATTGATTCTTAACACAACAGTAATCACTTACATTCAGAGGTTAAGGAAGAGTTTAGTTATAGTGCTTTGACTTTTGTGTTTGGGAACACAGGAGAGAGCATCAGAAACCAAGAGAAATGGAGGTGAGGATTAGGAAGAGGATAGTAATACAAAGGCAAAATAGAAAAAGCAGTAAGGGTGTGTTAAAATAAATGCAAAAAGCCAAACTGTAAAATGAAACCACTCGGGGGGGAGAGGCAAAGCCATGTTTACAAAGGGTACATGCAGGAAAATCTGGAACAAAAGCAAGTGCTGAAAAATGGAGGAGAAAAATATGTTCTGTTTTATAGAAGAAAAACTAGGGAAAAAGAATGATGAGGTAGGATTTATTTTCAAACGGCAGTTTATCTTTTGAACAGAAATCTGAAGATTGCTTGCAAGTTTCTAGTCTCCTTTTGCCGCATAGTTTCACAGGAAAATCTGAACTTTCCTAGCTCTGCTTAGGGAGGTACCAACGTGCTAAATAAAAATTTGCACCAAATTCCTGTGTTGCATACCATCTATCCAGTTTATTCTAAAAAAGCAGATTATCAATTAACTTTTTAGATTACAACTCTCAGAATTCAGGGAATTTGTACAGTATGGTTTTGGGGTATGCATATACCCAGATGCAGAGCTGAAAGCAGTGCCTATAGAATCAAAAATGTCAGTTGGGAGGGATCTCATGAGCTGTTGAAGCCACTAGAAAGGCACGGCCTGTTTCTCCATTACTTTCCAGTTACAGAACACTAGTTTCAGTTGTTAATGTTTGCCAAATAGAGAGTTTTGGGATGATTTTTTATTTTCCACGCTTGCTTGCTTGCTTTACATCACTGGTTGAATATTTCAGGAAAGTAAAACAAAAAAGTTCACCGAATTCAGAGACAAAAAAGGGGAGAGATATAGAAATGTAGTTTTTAAAAGGGTTACATGGATAGAGTGAATAAAAGGCAATGAATCAACATTTTACAGAGTTATATAGACAGCCTTATTTCTGCTATTTGCTGACTGTTGCAAACTTGACATAGCAGTTATGTCTTTCTACGTTTTTGGGTGTATATAATATGTATAATTGAAGTGGGGCTAGTTAGGATGGCTGTGGAGAGATCACACTTGTGATTCCATTCCAGATTTTCTCTAAACTGCCCTTAGTTTTTCCGCAGAATGTTAGTAACAGGAAGACTTTTCTGCCAATCCATTTAATGGTTACAAGTGATGAGATGTTTCAAGTAGAAAAGAGTTGAACTAAGCACCTTTCTCCCATTTTCTGTTTTGAAGGGACTTGTCTTACAACAATATAAAGGACCTCCCAAGTTTTAAGGGCTGCCACTCCTTGGAAGAAATGTAAGTAGAAATACATGTTTTTTATCTTTATTACCTCCTTAGTGTGCTTAGTCCAAGTCTCTAGAAACTTTTTTGCTTCATGTTTGATCATAAGTTTCTAAGATTAAGGACGGAGAGAGATGATATAACCATCTCATGTGAGGAGTGTGCTGGATAGAGAATTCAACCACTTGTGTTTTCCTCAATTAGCTAAGGTTTAATTGTTCCTATGGCACAAAAAAGAATGAAGGACACCTTAATCCTGCATTTCATAGTAGCATTGCTATACGCATAAATAGAACGAGCATTTATGTATTTTTCTTCCTGCCTCTTATCTCTTCCACTCTTCAGTTCCCTCCAACCATCAGCCTGTGCTTGTGTAAAACATGTTTTCCTCTGGTCCCTGTAAGACACATTCAAACCCCATCTTTGCTTTTCCTTACTAAATTGCTTTAAAGCTTAAGCTTAATTTCCAGACCCTACACAATTTCTGCCTGCATATATTCCTACTTCTCCTTCTACCTCTACTGCTCTCAAGCTTCTTTCCCCTTAACCAGAGTGGGGCTAATAGACTTCTCACAGGCCTTTGCTGTTACACTCTTGACATCTTCGGGCTCATTGTACACATGGTTCATTGTAAAGGGAGCTAGTGAACTGGAAGTATAACTTGCCCATTAGCTCTTCTCAACGTATTCCTTTCATAAATCCATATTTCGAGAAGTAAAAGTGCACCCAGGGTAAGAATATCAACGTGTTCCTTTCATAAATCTGTATTTCAAGAAGTAAAAGTGCACCCAGGGTAAGAATATGGCCTAAAGATTCCTTCAGAATTAAGTAGATTTGTTTTAAATCTCAGTGTGACTCTTCAAAGTTCACAAAGTGTTACTTTTAGCTTGGAAATAATACAGTCCACACTTAACAGTCTCTTGGAAGTTAAATGAGTTGTGAATTGGGATTGGGCAGAGGCGCCACGAAAGAGCTTCATGGTTGTATAACATGGCTAATGCGAAGTGCAGAGCAGATACTTAAACAGTTTGCCTACAAGGGGAAATGAGAAAAATCTTGCCATTGGTAAGGCTAAATCTGTGTATTAGCAGGCACCGAGCTATCTCTTAGTTTGAAGCCAGCCCAGTTTGCCAATAAAGCTCTGTTTCTACTTCTTCACTCTGCAGTTCCTTACAGCATAATCAAATCCATGAAATCACAGAGGATACCTTTCAAGGACTGTCCTCCCTTCGTATCCTGTAAGTGCATGTAGTTGCATACTGAGTAAAACAAGATAATGTTTTTGATTCCCATGTAAACTGATGTCAGGGTTTGGTGTTACACATCTGATTGATGGCAAAAGGCCAGGTATGCTGGATCCTAAGGTGAAGCAAACCATGTACAAGAGATACTAGCAGCAGCCAGTTTCAGTCCCGTTCTTTCTATTCTCCATTTTGTTTTTCTAGCCTATAAAGAAATTTTTAATATATATACACATACATGGAGATAAAAAAAGGAGATTTTTTTCGGTAGTCCACTATTTTGCATTATATTATTACTATATTATTCCATTATATAGTATTTATTGGAGACATCCTATCTGTTTTCCTCAGGAGGAGCAGATCAGTAAACAAAATTTTCCCCTCCCCTTACATCTGTAGCTATATGAAGATGATATAGGAACATTGAAATTATCAGAAAAAAATCCACAAATTGACAGGTGTTTTAAAAGGAATGTCATAATATAAGTCATGGTGGTCCAGCAGGAACTGGATCTGGATTTTGAAATCCAACAAAGCAGATGCCCTTCTGCTTGTTCTTTCGTTGCCTTCCCCCACCCCTGCCGGCGTGCCCTGCTGCAGGTGCGGTTGGCACCGAAGGGATCGTCCTGGCACCTTCAGCCTGGGAATGGGTGGTGTCCGCGGCGGCCTCTGCCTTGGGAGCGCAGGCTGAGCTGCTAGCAGAAGGAGGGGGAAGGGGGCAGGAATGGGAGATGGATGCTGCCTTGGGGATGAGGTGAAGCAGGATAGATACAGCTGCCCTACCACGGGATTTGGCTGCTACTGCACCTGGCTGACTGGGGAGAGAGGGGAAACGGGAGTGTTGTTCGGCTTTTCTGACAAAGACATCATGTATTTGTCACCTTAGCTTTTTTCTCAGTACAGTGGCTGTTACAAAGTTTTGATGAAACTGCTAAAATCTCATTTGGCATTCATTGCAGCGACCTCAGTAGAAATCGGATCCGTCAGATCCACAAGGAAGCTTTCACCACTGTTGGAGCTATTGTTAACCTGTAAGTAGGCTATTCTGTGCAGCAACCTCCTCTCTCTATCATTAAACTGCTGCGAGAGTAAATGGTTTTAGCTTAAAACTGGTATGTGCCCATTGTATGTTTCATCTCTGTGGATCACGAAACCTCTCACTTGCTGAATGTATGCAGGACAGACTTCTTGAAAGTGCCTGCTGCACTGACAGGCACTTGCTAGACCACAGCCTCGGTGTGAGACTTAAAAAGCCTTCCTACTCTAATGAAGTGTATGCTATAGGATCTTCAGCCTTACTTTGTTGTAACGCTGTCTTAATATTCACATTTCAGAGACCTAAGTTTCAACGAACTCACTTCAGTTCCAAGTGAAGGATTGAGTGGACTGAACCAGCTTAAACTTGCAGGCAATTCTGAGTTGAAAGAAGCTTTGGCAGCAAAGAACTTTGCAAAGCTCCGGTACGTTGGTAAATAACACTACAGAGTGCCTCGCTTATTTTGACAGTAACAAGCAACGTGACAATAAATTAAGCCAGTTTAGATAATTACTCATGACAAATGATCCGCTGAGTCCTGTAGGGTCTTAATGTTGGCCTATATAAAAGGGCATCTGACTATTCTGATATAGAAGCCATTTGCAGACAATTTTCTTGGAAACTTTTCTATTTTTCCTCCACCACTTTTCAGGTAGATATCATCCGACTTTGGAATAGTGGGTTGGGTGGATTCCATTTGTTACTGAACTGAGCACATCTGTCTTTCAGAGTGTGGAAAACGGGAGAAGACACGCGGGTGTCTGATTCCATAATCACCACCCTTTATACGCATGCTGTTTGTTCTTGGAGGCGAACGATAAGAGTAACAGTAATCATTCAAATGGAAACCTGGTACTGATTTCAGTGGGAGGTGGATCAGACAGTGGTTAACTGCTTTGCATTTTCAAAGATCTTTCTGCATGTTAATATTTCGCTCCTCAAGAAGCAGTTAGAAATTGTTTCCCATGTTGTCTGATGGAAAAAATGGAGATGAAGATACTGTTAATTTGTCTAAGGCCAGCAAAGGAATCCGTGTCAGGCCTCAGCAGTCCTGTGGAAACAGCAGATTGTTTTTTAGGTTTGGATCTGTGTTTGTGAACTAATGCATTGTGGGATCCTTCAGACTGACGTTCCTCCTAAATATTTACAAGAACAGAATTCAGGAACAATACTGCAGGTAGTTGATACTGTAGCCTTGAGTCAGAAAAATTAGCTTCTGGTCTGCTATTTAGGGAAGTGATCGTGCCCCTGTACTCAGCACTGGTGAGGCCGCACCTCCAATACTGTGTTCAGTTTTGGGCCCCTCACTACAAGAAGGACGTCGAGGTGCTGGAGCGTGTCCAGAGAAGGGCAACGAAGCTGGTGAGGGGTCTGGAGAACAAGTCTTATGAGGAGCGGCTGAGGGAACTGGGGTTGTTTAGCCTGGAGAAAAGGAGGCTGAGGGGAGACCTCATCGCTCTCTACAACTACCTGAAAGGAGGTTGTAGCGAGGTGGGTGTTGGTCTCTTCTCCCAAGTAACTAGTGATAGGACGAGAGGAAATGGCCTCAAGTTGTGCCAAGGGAGGTTTAG